GTTATAATGTTTTCACTATTTTTTAAAAGTTATATCATGTATACTTTTTACATGATATAAAAAGTATTTAGAAATCTTTTTATATCATGAACTTGTTAGAAATTTAATAGATATGAAAACTTAATATTTTGTATGCAAAAGATTCTAAGGTCAAAAATTCTGAAAGGGCTGTAAATTACAATAAGGGATCTCAATAAAAATTTTTTTCTCTAATGATAAACATCATTCATGCATAGATTAATCATATTTTGTGATACTGTTTGTGGAAAATGTTTTTATTTAAGAAATAATAAAATTGATTTAAATTCAATTAACAAATTATTCAAAAGTTTTAATATATAAAATATTAATAATTGTCAAGGCAGGAACTTCTTCAGGATAAAAAAAAAAAAACTTTAGAAACACCTTTTGCACTTTTCTAGCAAACAAATTTTAATAAAACAAATGTTTTTGGCTTGTTTGATAAGCCTTCTTCAGATTAAATGTTACAGAACATAATTTAAATTGAGAATCTTGCTGGAAATTTTTGGTTTATCATTGAATGCTCAGTGTATCTCAGTATTCAGAATCTTGGTACACTCCATTTGAATTGCAGAGGTCAGTTAGCCTAATAATACACATTAAACATGGTTGAAAACATTTGCTTTCTTGTAAAATCTTGCTATAGATTGGTTTCATGTGCTTTGTTTATAAAAGTATGATGGTCAGTTAAAAAATGACTTCCCCAAGATTTTTACATTTTTGGACTTGAAACCTTGAAATGTCGAGAAATGCAAAAAAGGAGTTTTTCTGTATGTATGGACATTTGTGTGTGGAACTTGACTTTTTTTTTTTTACCCATTTTGAAGCTTAGTAATTTGACGCTTCTGTGCATTTTGTTGAAAATTTCTGAAATTTTTCAGGGAGGATTTGTGTATTGGAAAAATGTTTCTAGAAATTTTCAGGAAAATTGGACCACAGGTTTGGGAGATATTAAGGGAGTGGGAGATCATATCTCAAAAAGCTCTCAAGTTGCAAAATTCTTTTTATTTGTACAAATTTTTAGTTTAAAAATTTTTAGTTTAGTTCAAAAAATAACTGTATTTTTTTCAAAAATGATATCCACTCCCAATAGTAATGTTTTTTGATTTTTTTTATAACTTTTGATAGAATAAGCCAATTATGTTCTTTTTTCAATATGTATATATTAATAAAATAATTTTAAGAACTTGATATTTGTCTAACCCCAACTCTAGGTCTGGGGTAAAAATATAAAAAATTATTTTTTTAAATCAAATTCCTTAAGTTAAATATTTTTTGTGTTATTAATTATAATTTTAATTGATATTAGACCAAAAATCTTTATATGTTGAAGAGGTGGAAAAGGCTAATATTTTAAAAATAATTAAATGATACACATTTTAGGAGTAATTATTTATATTTAGTACAGGTATCCCTTATATAACATAATAGTTATGTTCTGAAAAAGTGCAGTGTTATGATAATCTGTGATATATGAAACAAAGGACTAATGAACAACATAGGTGTAGTGCTAATTCATATGTAATTACTTTACAGTACAGTATCAAGGTACAGACAAAATAATTTGAAAACTTAATTTTAATTCTGTATGTTACATAGGTTACGATGCTACACTACTGGGTGAATATAGAATTGATACACATGTGCACCTGGCGAAGTTTGAACCCAAAAGTGAGGTCATAGGGTCAGGTTGCCAGGTTTGCTAAGTTCAAAGTACCTCCTGGTGGTGACTTTTGGATTTATGACCAAAGCTGTCGCCACAATAGGGTTATATTCCAGAAATTATCTAAAGTATGCTATTATTTTTCTTTACTAAGAGAAATATGTTTATTAAAGCAATCAATAATTTATTTCCAATCAATAATTAATTAACAATTACAATTAAAAGTACTGTATTATATCTCAATATTAGCATTAATATTAAGTGTTAATATTCACATTTATTCAGTCAAGTACCAAGCAACTTTTTTCCAGAATTTGTGTTTATAGTTTTGTTGTCTAGGTATGCGCTGTATTTCATTTGTCATTTTTACGAATGAAATACAGTAATACCCCGACTTACACGAACCTGGAGTTACACAATTTTCAAATCTCGTCGATTCGTCTTTTGTTTGAGCACCAAGCAACTCTCGATTACTCAATCCCCCCACACTATTGTTCGGCTTACATGTTCAGACGTGTCGCGTGGAATCGACACATCGCCACAATTTTTTTTGTGTTATTTATTTCTGTGTTTGTTATATCTACGGAGACTTGAGAGACTCTATGTGGTGATTTCTTCTAACTGTGAACGAATCAAAAGACGAGATAAGATTAATGAGAACATTTATTAGCTTACATATATCCGACTTGGGTTTTACACAAATTGCGAAATTATACACCGACTTATGTGAATTTGACTTACGTGGTTATCACTCGGTCCCACCTATTGCGTAAGTTTGGGGTATCACTGTAATCATTCATTGGTAAGTAATACCTAAGGTTAAAAAAAGTTTAATGACACTTACTTAAGAATGTTTAAATAAACTTTACTAAATACAAATCTATAAAAACAAAACACATTGACAATCTTAAGGGCTAAAGTCTGAAAGCAATGATAACAACACCTGGTTGATAGGAAAATTACTACAAATTTTTTCTTCCTTATCCTATCAGTTTTCATTAAAGTAAACCTGATGAAAAGCACAAAATAATTTGAAAATTTCAATATTCTAAAATCCATGGAAAAATTTGAGACAACAGGCATGCTTACTTGAATAAAAAGAGATATTGAATAACAAAGTTTACAGTTAAAAATTGTGAAATTTTATACAGAGGATTTCTAAGAGCAAACCTGGAAGTTGTGTTTTATGGGGGATATCCCCAATTTTCAAACCATGTTAGAGTGAAATTGTGTTATAGAAGTACTGTGCTGAATGAAGGATACCTGTAATTTCATGTAAATCTAAAAACTTAAAAGTAATGGTAACAATTATTGAGGATTAAAACAAATAAGCAATGCCAGGAAAGACCAGCAACAACATTGCCAGCTGTTTTTATGAAGTATGTCACTGTTATACACAGATTAAGAATAAAAAAATTTTTTTTATTTTGTGCAATATTTATGGAATTATATGTGATGATGCAAAAGTGAGTCACCAGCACCTCTTGGGGGAAAAATGATGAAAAACCATTCTAATTAAATATGTCCTGAAAAAGTATGAAACCAAGCAATAAAATTTAATCTCTACAATGTCTCTTACACTTCCAGATAATAATAAATAACATCTGAAAAACATGTACAATTTACTAAAAACTTCCAGCATCTGAGTGACACAAAATCACATCATCAGCATATGTGGTGAGGAGTGTCATATGACACAGAATCATGTCAATCAGCAGCAAAAGTGTTAATTAATAATGTATGATAATAGCTATCTTAATAATGTATGATAATAATGTATGATAATATCTATCCCATCATATATATCTTACAGATATATATGATGGGATTATCTGATTGGGATATTATCTGTAAGATGGGATAATAATACTTTATTAATGATATAAATTTAGATACAAATTGGACTGATGACTTTCAGTATTATTAGAAATGTATCCAAATTATAAAGCATTAATACATATTTTATTAAAATAAAATTTTACAAAAAATTTAAGTTAATAATTATTTTTGTATCTAAAAGTCAGTTTGAAAGCAACTATCAGTTATTTTCCAAATTTAACCATCAATTATGAACTCATCTAACAACTTTTCCTTTGTCTAAAGTTATGAAGATTTTCTTTAGAAAACATGAAAACTTCTTCGCACAGCAGAACATGTTCATCTGCCATCAATTTTTTTCTCAAAACAACCAAAGGCATGTATGCTTTGTCTTTAGTTCTTGCCTGTTTATTTTCTGTATGCTAATCTACTCTCTAATTGATATTATTAGACACTCCTACTATTATAATGAAAGCTATTAAGACTTTTTCATTTAACTTATTTTATAATAGATATACAATGAAGTGTAACAGAAAAACAATGTTTTGATGCTTGAGATTATACCTTCTAAACTACATAATCAGTAAGTGTCATATATACTGTATACGTCAATGACTCCAGAGGCAGCCATTGATGTATACAGTAGAAAGATTATACAAAGGTTTTATTTCTGTTTTAATAATTTTCTGCAGGATATATGCTTCCACACAAAATTACTGTAGTAATTATAATTAATAGTGTATAGTATACAGTAGACCCCCTATAAAACGGGTTCATATAATACGGATTCGTATAACAAGGTGAAAAAATTGCAATCGTATTTGTATAAACATGCTAAAAGAGACTCTTATAATACGGTAAAACGTCATTGCCGACTTGTGTCACGACAGGATTAGTCGAATCTAGACCAATAGCAGATATTGCACAACCATTGAGTTTAAACGAGCAGCGGACCTACTAAAAACCATTTATTATTTAACGCCCATAAAAATTATATTTATATTAATGATGTCTCCAAAGTTCAGCGAATTTTTCACAGAAAAATAACTTATCAGAAAACACGCATCCACCCTTCAATGCGCCGCTCCGCAACAAAAACAAGCTTAAGCAATGGCATTGTCAAATGGTGCATACTCAGTAAGTAATCCTACAATTATTTGTTTATAGCATAGTTTATATGGATTATTCCCAAAAAATTATATGTGTTTTGGAAATGTTGAGTCAAATTAGTCTAGAATTGATTAATTTTATGGAAGAAAACCTTTCAAACAGCCGTAGTCCCTAAACTGCACATGTGCCGGGCTGTGATTGGCTCATGTATTTAAGTGACTGGTAAAACACAGAATTCATATAAAACAGAACATATCTACCATGTTATAGGGGGGGTCTACTGTATTTAATAGTATATAGTTAGTGATATAGTACTAGGTAATATAAATTTCTTGGTGATAATCTTCTCTCTTCATTTTAATTTATTTATATATACTTTTCTTTTCAGGTTCTCTTTCTGTATCTGTCCTTTCGGGTAAAATAATGTTTCGAGATGTTGCTTACATAAATGAAGATTACACAATTCGTGCACAAGATGGTTGGCTGATTTTTAGATGGTGGTACCCATATGTTCATAAAGAAATAACTGAAGGTTGTTTATTATAAAAATTTTAAAAATTTAAATAATTCTTATAGTTTAATTACAAATAATTANTGCACTTAAAAAAAACCAGACTCAGGGGACCGAGAACTGAGTCAAAATAAAATACTTGTTAAAAATGACAACATCTTTCTACAAACAGGCAAGAGTGCAAAATTTCTGCATGCATATATTGTTGGAAAGTTGGAAATGCGAACATTGCGAAATCGAATTTTGACAAATGAGTCTTTGAAAAAACCTATTTACCTCTCTGGTCGTGACCTGCTGACTTGACCAGTTGACCCGAGATATCTCATTTCAGCATCAGAAAATTATTGAAACTGGATGGCACCAGTCATTATAATTTTATATTAAAAGTAACTTCTGAAATATAATTTTTTTTGTTTTTACATTTATTAATATATTTATTTTGTTTGTGCAAAATAAAATAATTTCAGACAATACAATAGCCATGATTATTTTTTTCAAAAATGAGAAATTTTCGTTTGGCATCAACAAAAATTTAACGTGGGGTGACACACAATGGAGAGATATTTCAACATTGGCTAGGTTAATGTCACCAAAATGCCTAATGGCTGAGGCCGGCAAAGTTTGAACGATTGCGTTGAGTCCTGAGTCTCTGAGACATTGTCTTGTCCCAAAAATCAGCCTTACCGTTTTGCTTGTTTTGAGAATATTTTTTTATAGTTTTTTTTTTGTTTCTGGAAATGTGATTTTATTACACAATAATTTTTCTTCTTTTTATTATTTAATAGAAAATCTAATTTTATTATATGAAAATTTAAGGGAATTTTTATGCAGAAAAAATATTAAATTTAATTACAATGGCTTAATTCAAATGAAAAATAATGAATTATTCAATTATTGAAATAATTTGAAATATATTAAATGATTCACTCATTCACCAAGATTTGAATTCATTTTGATAATTTTTAACCCCAAAATAAAAAAAATTACAAAAAAGTTACAAAAATTTCTTAGTCTAAAATTAAAATTATCTACTAAAAATTATTTTGGTCAACAATAGTTCAATTTTGCCTCATTGGGAAATACTGCACTAGACAATTGTGCAATTTTTCATAGTGTACTGTAAAAACCAGTCTAATTAAACAAATTATTTAGATATGTGTCTTGATTTATTCTTATAGTGAACAATTTATAACAATTTTCGTTTTTAAATAAGCTTATTTAAATAAAAATACTTCAGTCTTTTAATAATTTTATACATTAAATGTAAAATTAATAAATTATTTTAAATTTCATTTGAATTTAAGTAAAAATTTCATTAATAGNAATTGTGCCATCACTCTGAAATTTTTAACATTTTTGCATATCACTATGGATGAATAACTTCAAATAAAAGATTGACTCCACTGTAAAGACTTGTTTGTTAGATATTGAAAAGGACAAAATATGAAAACATTTATTGTCTTTTCTAATTGTCAAGACTATGTTTTGTTTATAAAACGCAGTGCCATTATGGGTCCCCATTAGGGTTTCTCATTTCCCGGGAAATTTGCCTCCAGCGGGATTACGAGAAAAATAATTTATTTTCCCGGGATGAGATAGTAAAATAGAATTTTATATGAATAAAAAAGATCATACAGGAATATCATAAATTTGAATAATTTAATTTATTTTCTAGTAAGTAACTAAAAGTGTAGGGCCAATCTCACCCATACGGACACGTTAGGCTCAATTAATTTATGTTCTCCTACATTATAAGATGAAAGTAAAATAAAGCGTTTCATTGGGAGTTTTAATGATTACGAAAAAAAAATACTATTTTACTTCTAAAGATGAAATAAAAAATAAACTAAAGTGCGATGAGTGATATTTACTTTCAGCAAGTCTCCGCTGTTCAATGATGCGCAAACACAATACATAGATATTACATGAACTAACAAGTAGAGACTTGTAAAACATAGGTAATAATATGCAGCAAGAAACCTCAAAATTTCTCTCTTAGGTGAGTCTTCAAGATGCAACTTTTTGTATAATAAATAATAGAAAGAAAACCTGACATAGTAAATTATTATTGAAATGCAAGATTTCCCGGAAAAATAAAATTTCCCGGGATTTTTCTCGTAGGGAATAAATGGCGAGAATCCTGGGAAAACGGGATCCCGGGAAAGAAACCCTAGTCCCCATCTTAGAGGAATAAGGGGGATATGTCAGGAGTTGCAATTTGGCACAGAGTATTAAGTGCCAAAATCATGTGCACATAAAAAAAACCAGACTCAGGGGACCGAGAACTGAGTCAAAATAAAATACTTGTTAAAAATGACAACATCTTTCTACAAACAGGCAAGAGTGCAAAATTTCTGCATGCATATATTGTTGGAAAGTTGGAAATGCGAACATTGCGAAATCGAATTTTGACAAATGAGTCTTTGAAAAAACCTATTTACCTCTCTGGTCGTGACCTGCTGACTTGACCAGTTGACCCGAGATATCTCATTTCAGCATCAGAAAATTATTGAAACTGGATGGCACCAGTCATTATAATTTTATATTAAAAGTAACTTCTGAAATATAATTTTTTTTGTTTTTACATTTATTAATATATTTATTTTGTTTGTGCAAAATAAAATAATTTCAGACAATACAATAGCCATGATTATTTTTTTCAAAAATGAGAAATTTTCGTTTGGCATCAACAAAAATTTAACGTGGGGTGACACACAATGGAGAGATATTTCAACATTGGCTAGGTTAATGTCACCAAAATGCCTAATGGCTGAGGCCGGCAAAGTTTGAACGATTGCGTTGAGTCCTGAGTCTCTGAGACATTGTCTTGTCCCAAAAATCAGCCTTACCGTTTTGCTTGTTTTGAGAATATTTTTTTATAGTTTTTTTTTTGTTTCTGGAAATGTGATTTTATTACACAATAATTTTTCTTCTTTTTATTATTTAATAGAAAATCTAATTTTATTATATGAAAATTTAAGGGAATTTTTATGCAGAAAAAATATTAAATTTAATTACAATGGCTTAATTCAAATGAAAAATAATGAATTATTCAATTATTGAAATAATTTGAAATATATTAAATGATTCACTCATTCACCAAGATTTGAATTCATTTTGATAATTTTTAACCCCAAAATAAAAAAAATTACAAAAAAGTTACAAAAATTTCTTAGTCTAAAATTAAAATTATCTACTAAAAATTATTTTGGTCAACAATAGTTCAATTTTGCCTCATTGGGAAATACTGCACTAGACAATTGTGCAATTTTTCATAGTGTACTGTAAAAACCAGTCTAATTAAACAAATTATTTAGATATGTGTCTTGATTTATTCTTATAGTGAACAATTTATAACAATTTTCGTTTTTAAATAAGCTTATTTAAATAAAAATACTTCAGTCTTTTAATAATTTTATACATTAAATGTAAAATTAATAAATTATTTTAAATTTCATTTGAATTTAAGTAAAAATTTCATTAATAGTGGTATATTGAATATAGTTTGGAGATTTTCACATTTTGTGCTTAATGTGAAAAATGTAGTGATTACATCATCATTTTGATGTTAAGCATTTAAAAAACTGCTAGAATTTAGCTGAAAGAAAGAGTTTTATAGATTTGAATGATTAATTAAAATGATTGTTTGGTAATTTAAATCATTCAAATAAATTTATCACTATTTTAATTTAGACAGAATAAAAATTTTGTATACTTCTTGATGACTTTCTTTATAATGTAAATTATGGAAGAAGTGAAAATTGATAAAAAATTAATTTTGGATTATGAAAAAATAAATATTTATAATTTGACTAAATGCTTTTTCTAGAACAAAAAACAAAATATAAATTAAATATACTAAGATGTTTTTGGATAAACATTTGACCTGGAATGAATAAATCAATATAATTCAAAGTAAAATGATAAACTTCTAAAATACACTTGTTACATCATTTTTGGAGGAACAAAAATAAAATAAGACATTTTTGAGCCATTGGAGAAATGGCTGCAAGATCTTTTCTGTTTTATTTATTTTTGTTCATTCCAATATGAGATATGATTTTTGGGCTGCAATTTGAAAAAATTGTAGACCTCTAAATTGTTGTCTGTCCTTCCTTAATCTTCAAAATGGAGTTATATAGATGAAAGCTGAGACCAGATATGGAAAGATCAGGGGCAGGAGGCCCTGATTAACTATATATAAACTTCTGATACAAACTGGAAGTCATGTTACGTCAATTCAAAAACTTTCTTCTGAAAGGAGTTAGATAGATTACTGGCATTACTGTATTGCTAACAGGAAAAGGATGATGTATAGGGCAAGACACTAATTTGGGGTGGAGAGCATATATTTTAAATTACAGCCCAGCATTATGATGATTTCACAATAAATAATTGCTTGTTTAACTTTAAATTCCTCCAACTGTTCATTCTTCAGTTAGTTAAATATCTGAGGATGAAGTAAATACAAAAAGATTTGAATAAATATGCTATATTTATTCTTCAGTTATTTATTCAGTTAGATAAAACATAAATATCAATTCTTTGTTGTTTGAACCTTAGTTTGTTACAAGGAGGTTAAGTATTACATGAAGCTGAAGTTAGTGCAACACAATAAATTAATATAATAGATTAATACAAGATATTACAAAATAAAATACATACAGGCAGTGCCGGCTCTACAAGTTTTAAGAGTGCGTGAAACTTTTATGTAGTCGTCTTTTTTGAAAATTCAGTAATAATTTATAAGAATATATTTTCAAAATTAATTTTTAATTCATATTTAGTACAAAAAAACCAGAAAATAATTATATTGAAAATGTAACTTTTTGAGTGTTCACTGTTGCAAATTTAGAAGTTTAACTGTCTATTATATATTGAGATAGTGCAAATTCATGTTTTTTGTTTTGCAGACTTAAAATCTTTAAATTGCAAGAAAGAATAATGTTAAACTTTTTCAAATAATTTGATTACATCTCAAAAGCATATATCTATTAATAAAAATCTATAAGATCATTACA